TATATATATATATATATATATATATATATATATATATATTGGGTTGTCGGAAAAGTCATGACACATTTTTGCGACAAAAAACAGAAAAAATACGTCATGACTTTTCCAACAACCCAATATATATATAGTCCCTGATTAACAATAAATACACAGCAGCAAGGAGTGCTAGGCATAGCAAATACTTTTTACTAAAAGAATGTTTCATTTTAGAGTGCAAGGAAGATAATTAATGCACTGTCCAGACACAGACTGACATAATGAGCACAAGGCATGGCTTCATATGAAATTAACTTTGTCTTACATTTCTCACATTTCTTCCTGTTTACCATATTAAAAGCAACAATATGACACTTCAACAATAGGGCCCCTTTAGCTCTTCTTTTCCCAGTGAAGAAAAACACTTTCATTTATGACATATTACAGACAATGTGGACAATAAGGTTAGAAAAATAGCAAAGGACCATTATGCTTGGATTTTTTTATCAAATGTAATTGAGAGGTTAGAATGTCTTTGGAGCCTGCAACTGTTTTTCTGAAAACACTGTTTTCTGGAATACCCCTTCACTGAATGCTAAAGGAAGCTGGATGTCTATTTTGACACAAATCCACGTGACTTTGAGGTGTTAAGTCTCTGCTCTGGAAGGATCGCAGTGGATAAAGAAGTACTGTATTGCCCTTGACCCCTAACAAGCACCATCACTATCTGCAGCTTTTAATTTAGTTTGGTTCCTGTGAACAATCAGATGTGAAGGAATTTGAACACCATAATTAAGAAAAAATAAAACAGCATGAAAAAACCAATATCAAAGTTAAAATAAAAATTTGTTTGCCATGCAAATAATTACCTAGCTTAAACAGAAGTCATGAGATTATACATTTTTATCCTGTTGTGTGAAAAAACTGTAGCTGGATTAAACAAAACAGAACAAAACAGTACAGCACTCAGGTATTCAAACCAGTCTATGTCCTCCTTCCATTTTTCTTGTTTGCTTTATCACATTCTACAAAACACAATGGGAATAGAAGCCTGTCATTTATATTACATAATGAGATATCCTTCTTGGACATGTGCACAAGTTTGTGCTTCTGTTGTGGTAAGTATTCATGAAGTGTGTGTCCCTCCTAGACATCTCTAAGCTCAAACTTAGCCATGGTCCCCACAACCACTTTGGATGTGCTGCATTAAATGAGGAGGTGTTTGTCTTCCTGTTGTTATTTCTTGGAAAGTGCACCATATGTCCAGGCTAGTTCCAGCTGATGGGACTGATGTCACATGTGAATCATGAGTTGAATGTAGAAAAATTTTGGACTTTCTACTGCTAATTTTGCTTGGATAATGTGGATAGGGAAAAGTAAAGTGGAAGGGAAAGAAAAGGGTGATCAACTTCTAGTTCTGGAGTTGGTTGTTAGAAATGATTTTAAAAATGTGGCTCTGCTCAGAAGACATGGGCACATAAAAGCTTGGAATGCTTAATGCTCAAAATTTTCTTTAAATTATACAAATGGAAGTAAACATTTATTACCATTTGGTCAAGTGTAGCATAACTTGCATTCATATTTCATTGTTAGTAATGGAGGTATATGGAGATATACACAGACCTTGAGACCGCTATTTTTTTAATATTGCATACAGGCTAGCAGTTCATTGAAAATGGAGGAGATAAGCCTGAAGGTTAGATCTTAGAAGAAGGCAGTTCTTCATGCACAGCTTTTGTCAATCCTGATTTGGTTTAGAAATAAAAATCATGGAATACCAAAATCAAAAGAGAGTTGATTGAGGGAAAGGGAAAGGAGAATTATTCCAGAAAGGGTGACATCACTGTCCAGGAAAATGTCAGGTGAGTTTCCATTTCTTTATTCAAGTCCAAAGGTGCTGGTTTCTTCTACTGCTGTTAACAGCTTTTCATACAACATGGAGTATGAGGGATAAGGTGGAAGATCCAATCGATTGAAGCATGTATGTGCCCTGGGTGTGGGAGAAAACACTGGTGAAGCTGATTGTTTCGATGATACAACTGGTTTGGATATATGTATAATTAATCTGAAGTTGTGAATCAAAAGTAGAACCATGATTTAAGACCACCACAACACATTACAAACTAGGAACCATATAACATTCTAGACATGAATAGACCAGTGAGGGAGTGAAATAAATAGAAATATGTGGTTTGCTTACAAATGCATTTGTAATGCATTTGTAAGCAAACCACACTGCACTAGAACTACACTAGCAAACTAATGATACATTCTAAGGTATCACCCTTATTTTGCAATTGAGATGTGAACTTGGATGTGGTTAGTGAAGGAGGCAGAAAGATATTTAGCATTAGAGGATCTTATTCCCAAGTCTCCTTGCCCAGCTCTGACTCCTGGGCCTCAGTAAATCATGTACATTGACTTAGAAGTGCCAATGGATGCCCTGGAATGCTGAGATACAGTGCTTTATTGAGTTAGTTGTGTCCTGGAGACAGTTTAGATCCTCTACAGGTCCCAGTGGACAGACCTAACCTGAAGCAGATACTGTATTTTCAAGAAAAGCTGAGCTTGTGGGATAGTCCTCCGTGAGTGCCTTGAACATCCCCATGCAACCTGCCCTGGTTTCTGCTTTACTTGTCATGTGCTTCATCCTGCAGACTCATGCATGTCAGCATCTGGCCTAGACAAGGAATGGCTTTCCTTGCCATATGCTGACGCATGGATCAGGATCAGACCCTGTATGACCTGTGCAGGGCTCAGAGGCCCAAGACACATAGAATCCTCCTGTGGAACTTCAAATCAGCCTGACTAGCTGCTCCCTGTCAGGGGTTCTTTATTTTTTTTTAGAATCTTTGTTTGATGTCATGTCTGGTACCAAAGTAGGAAGAAAGATGGATGGGTGCAACTGAAGGTTAATTTAACACCTTTTCCTCCCTAGAAGGGGTGGTGAGTCGAAATGGTGTTTTGAGAAGCTAACTTTTATAGAAAAGTTCACTATAAGATAAATAAAACAAAATAACATAAAATAATAATAAAATAATTCCAAAAATTTCACAGAACAAACATACATATAAACAAAACTAAACAAAATCCTAACCAAAAAATAACATTCTTGCTTCATTAGAATTTTATTTGGGATATTAAACTCTTCTTTAAAATTATAAGATCTCCAGGGAAATTGTGTATTGTCTATAACTTTGTTTTCACAGTCCCAGGTCAGGCTGATCCGGTGCTCAGGGTATGGGGGAGATTGTTTGTGTGATGGGGAAGGTGGGAAGAGGGGAGAGAAAAGGTGGTTTTCCTGCACAGGGAGACTCTGGAGAGGATGTCATTGCTTTTGCCTCCCAGCATCTATTTCTCCTGCTGGTAATAGCTCCCTCATTGTCCTTGGAAAACTATACCTCATCCCCTTTTCCTACCCCAAGCTCCAAGGGTAGGCACAGGTTAGTAGAGTATATGACCTTCGGCCTTGAAAGTTTAACTGGAGAAATCATAAAAATAGGCCAAGATTAGCAGAGATCTCAGATTATTATCTAAGATTCAAATAGGTCTATGTTGACTTCAAAAGAAAATGAAATATTTTACCTAAATTTATTTGTTTGAGCAAAAATGGAAAAGTATTCAATAAAGGTCCTTTACTGAAGGACCTTCTCTATGTTTAGAAAGATAGAAACTAGGACATATTCTGGGCTATGGCTAACCAAGTTAAGTGGGACAGAAACATCCCAAGTGTGCTATTGGAACTGGCTGAACTAGCCAGGAGCAAGATATGAGCAGACATCATCTTCTTGGTTTTCTTCCTCTGTCATTATTATTAGGTCTCTGGAAAAGTCATGATGTATTTTGTCTATGTTTTTCAAAGGTCATTTATTTATATAAAGAACAAAGATCAATCAATGATATATTGCCTGTTTTGTTCAATAACCTTTTGCAATCTTTCAGTAAGCTTCATAATTCCTCATTTCTAGAAGGACTTGTCTTTATTTGTGAAAAACTGAACAAGGTGCTGATTCACAGCCTCATCTGAATTGAACGTTATACCACGCAAGGAGTTTTGAAGACAACAAAACAAGTGGAAGTCTGATGGCGCAAGGTCAGGCAGGTATGGTGGGTGTGGCAACACATCCCATCCAAGCTCCAATAATTTTTGATGGGTGATCACTTATATGTGGTCTTGCGTTGTTCCAATGCAACAAAACTCCTTTACAATTAACAAGCTCTGGACATTTCTGCATGATGGTTTTGTTCAAACTGTCCTATTGTTGACAGTACACATATGAATTGATTGTTTGGTTGCTTGGTAGGAGCTCAAAAATCATAACACCTTTAAAATCACACCATACTGAGAGCATAACCTTCCTCTGATGAATGTCTGCTTTCAATGTCATTCAAGGCAAATCATCATGTCAGGACCAATATCTTTGCACACCACATTGTTGTAAACAATCCACTTCTCATCACCAGTTATCAGTTGCTTCAAAAAAGGATTGTTCTCCTCATGTTCAATGAGCATATTGCAGATGTTTATACGCGCCATCAAATGAACTTCTTTGAGTTCACGCAGAACCCAAATATCGAGCTTGCTTACATATCCCAGCTTCTTCAAGTGGTTGTGAACACTTGAATGATGGATGTTCAATGTTCCTGCAATCTCTCGTGTCATGTAATGTGGGTTTGACTCAATCAATGCTTTTATTTTGTCTTCATCAACCTCGGTGGGCCTCCCTGACAGAGGAGCGTTGATGAGATCAAAATCACCAGCATGGAATTTTGTGAACCATTGTTGGCACTGATATTCTTGTAGAGCATTGCCACCATGAATTTTATGCAACTTTTCACAAGTTTGACGTGCATTCTTCCCTTTATGGAAGTAAAACAGTAAAATATGGCAGAAATGCACATTTGGTCTTCCATCTTCAACTTGTTGTAAAATCTCCAAAACTCAACCAAATCGCTCAGTTTTTTTTTAGAATGAAGCTAAAACTGTCAGCCGTCAAATGATATAGCAATAACATAAATGTGAATGACTCTAGTACTTCCAAAAATTAACTAATGCCATCTGTTGCAAACATGTGCCATGACTTTTCCAAAGACCCAACAACTGGCACTAATGAGTGGAAATATTACAGGACAAAAATCCCATATTTACAAAATATATTAATTTTGTAAAAGGTAATTTCTGGAAATAAACTGAAAGCAGTAGCAATTGGCACCTCTTTAAGACAGTCTGAACACCCAGAGTTTCTTCAAGATTTGCTTTTATTTTGCTTATCTACAGCCTTGGTTAACTCCCTTAAATAAATTCTAGTTTGCAATCTAGAATAAACACAATCAAATCACAATTCAATTCAACATCCCTAAGGGCTCCCCACCTTTTAGGTATGGTTCTGACAGCACAGAGCATCTGTTTACCTCATTCCCTGTGCACTGAACCCAGTGATTTCAGGTGGGTTGGGTGGTGGAGAAAGCATGAAACCACACGTTGGAAGATCTCTATTCTGATCACAGTCTAGCCTCTTAATAGCTTTATAACTTTGGAAGTATTGATCTTTCTGAGCCTCAGTTTTCTCACTTGTAAAATGGGAGTAATAATACATGCTTTGCACCCCTCAGAGAGTTTTGTTGTGAGAGCAATGATGATAAATGCACACAATGCTTTTTGTAAACTGTGAATCATCATTTAAACATAAGATTATCTTAATGATGCAACCACAGTTGCAATAATGATTTTAGAAACTGTACCACCCTTGTGGGGACTTAAAACCCTAAGTCTTTTTCACATGACTACTGACAAATGAATCACCTTCATCACCCATTTGCTATTTTGGAACCCCTTATAAGTCTTTTCCATTATGTCAGGTCAAATTTTGCTCCATTGGTGTTAATCTAGGGTTCCAGCATTTTGAGATAATTTTGAATTTGGATTGTGCCAATCTGTATTAATCACCCTTCTAATTTGTGTCATCTACACAGTTGATCTTCCTGTCTCCTTGACTTTTTTCCAAGTTATTGATTAAAATGTTAACCTATACAGTGCCAAAAATAGTCTTGTTTCTCTCCAGTAGAGACCACTTTAGGGTTGGTTAAAAGCAAGCAACAAAAAGGCCACCATCAATACTGTCTGCTGCTGGTTCTTCAGCCAGTTGTGAGGCCAGTTATGTAAGATGGGTCTGTTCTTCAAGTAATCTGCCACTGCCCAATGACTTCCTCGTTCTCCAGATGCGTTCTCATTCTCATCACTACTGACTCTTCTTTTTCAAGTTTTTCAAAAACCTTTCTATCCTCAAATACACAGGACAATTCTCTACTCCCATCTCCTCAGGCTCTTTAAAAGCATTTGAGTGCTCCTTGGCTTCTCTACAACTTCTCAATGGCTGTCAGTTTCTTTCCCAAACTCCCAGGGGCTCTTGCATACCTCCTTTGTAGCCTTGCAGCCTACAGAATAATGTGTCTTACATCAGCACTATTGACATTTTGAACTTGATAATTCTTTGTTGTGAAGGCATGTCCTATACATTGTAGGGGTTTGACTGCATTCTCTATGCACCAGATGCCAGTAGCACCCTTCTCTCTCAACCGAAAATGTCTCCAGACATTGCAACATGTGTCCTGGGGGCAAGTCACCTTTCCCCCATGCCCCTTGAGAATCATCGTCATAGATTAAGCCAACTACTAACTTAACCAGACCTCCAGCTCCACCTTGGCTTATGCTCAGTTTACATTTATGGGGAAGCACGTTCATGTTAGAATTCTGTTTGTAACTTTTAGGCCAGTTAACTTGCTCATAACTCATAGTTCTGTTATCACTGGTTCCTACTTCAAATGTTCCTAAGGAACCCTAATCTCGTCCCCTTTCCTTTATTATGTCTCCTCATTGTCTGTTCTGACTAGCTTCCATGCTTCTCTTTCCTCCATCCCCTTTCTAACCCTTTTTCCATAGTAAGGAAACTCTACCACCTTTTTAAACTGTCCAAACATAGCCTCCTAGTCCTAATGTTCCTTCTCGGTCCTCATGAGTGGAGATGGCCATTGCTCACCCTAACACATTCTCTGTTGTGGATGAGCACACTTCTCACTCCCCACTGCCAATTATAGATAATTATTTTTCAACCTTTGATTAAAACTTTTGTTCCTTTGAATCTCATACCATTTATATCATTTCCCCTAAAACTATAGGTTTTGTCTGACATTTTATTTTAATAAAATTGGGTAGATTAGAAAATAGAGTGAATCACCTGCAGATAATCAGGGTAAAGTGTTGTTTTGAAAAACTTGTGTTTAAGACACACACACACACACACACACATACACACACACACACACACGAGTACAAAAGCATGTCTTTGGTTGTGATAAAATGGCATTTCTTTCTGTAGGCAATGGTTTAAAAAGTTTGAAAATCAGTGATCTAGATATACACCTCTTCTACCTTCTGAACTTCTGGCTAATTACATTTATTAAAATCTCTGGTACATTAAAATCTCTGGCTTCAAGACTTCCCATTCCAGGTCCTCCCACCAGACTATGTAGAATCTGAGTCCACACAGATGATCTGTTTAATGTCCGGGACCACCACCTGCCTGACCGCAACCCCAGTGACCTCAACCCTACCTCTCTTAACTTCAGCTATGGAGGTTTATGAAGTTTCCTCATCAGGCATTGTAAAATTGTATCTTAAAAACCCCTACTATCAGAGTCCCTTTTTCTAACCCTCACACAGTTTTTAGAAGGCAAGGACTTGGATTGACATGAAGGTTTTATTTAGTCTGGCTATGACCCAGTTTTGCTTTGACACTATTTGACATTCTCATCTGGGAAGCCAGTTGCCTTTCTGTAGAAGGAAGACCTGAGGAGAAAGCAGCTTCAGACTACTTCTCTTTGAGTGTAGGCAGTGTGCATTGCAGCTCACAATCTCTGAAAGTCCCTGGGTCACCTCAGTCTGCTTGTCACTCCTGCCAGACTCTGGGCCCTTCCCTGGCCTCAACTCACTGCTGATGCAGCTTCCACCATCCTCAGGGCTTCTTGCCATCTGCTATGTGACCATGCCATGTCTTCCCAAACTATTGTTCTTGAAAGTCAGAGGTCATTTCTTTCACTCCACACATAGGTGACACTTTTTAGTTTCTTGAATCTTCAGAAAATGTACAAGGGAGACTAGTCAGGGGTTACTATTCAGAGGGTCAATTTCACTACTTTTTAAGAGCCATCTATGTACTTGATTTTTGAAGCCCTCCTGGCCCAGGACAAAGTCCCTGCTTCCCCCAGGAACCCTCTCTGTGTTTGCAGAGCAGCAGCCTTTTTAGAGGTAACTTGGCCTAGATATGAAGAGCCTGCTTGTAAGTTTAATGTCCACCTTAAAAACTCTCAGTGTGAGTTAGTAGTATTAATGTATATTTCAAAGCTTCCCAGAGCAAATATATAATTAGGCTCAATCTGTGACCCCAAATGACTTCTATTTCCAAAGGAATAAAGAGACTCCTCAGCAGGGTCTTTTCTCTGTGACCCACCAAACCATCTCTCTCAACTGCAGTATCGCTTCAGACATCTTATCCTATGTGTGGTCTTGGTGGACCTTCCTGAACACATGCTGGCCAACTCCCACCCTAGGCCTTGCTCATGCTGCTGCTTCAGCCTGGACCTTCCCTCTACCCATTCCTTGCCACTCAGTGCTCACCTAAATGCCAGCTTGTTTGTAGCATCTTCTCCTGTCAATCAGGTCAATCTCTGATCTACTTGCTTTTACCTTCCCTTCTTAGTGTCCCTCTTGTGTTATAATGAATTACCATCAGGCTGTGTTCCTCCCTAGATGATAAGCCCTTCTAGACTTGTACCTTGTTATATGTCAGTTTCTCCTCAAGTGCACGCTATGGGGGTAAGCTATTGACAAATGGTGACTTAAACTCATTTCTCTGAAATAAGAGCAAAATGTTTCCAAATTACCTCATGCTCCAAATCTATCACTAAATTAGACAAATGGAAATCTTGACTTTTTAGCCTTATTATTATTTTTTTTGCCAGACTTAATTCAGTAGGTTCAGCCATCAGCAGAACCATGCAAATGAGCCCTAAGTGTCTGCTGAACTAAGTGGGTAAAGCCAGGGCTGAAAATTGTGTCAAGGCTTTAGACTGTCATTAACCAGCTAGGCATGCACTCTGTTTCGTGGGCATCCTAATGTCAGAGACATCAGGGGAATTGTATTCAGGACATTCTAGGAATGTCAAGTCTGAATGAGCTATAAAAATCATACTTCAGTAAATCGTTCCACAACAAATTATCTGGGAGACCATGTAGAAATAGAGCTAAATTTAATGGGAATCTTCTTTTATGATTAGAAAATATCATGGTATAAGAAAATAATATAAATAAATCTTTCCTTCTGTTTGTTGAGCAGTATTTATTATGATAGTACCTATACAGAAGTATTTCTTTAGTGTTCCTTATTTCACTGATCAGGAATATGCTACCCAAAGTGACATAGAAAGGATCCATGAAGTTTTGGGATTAAAACTCATGTTAAAAGGAGTTTATTCTGTTAAATGGCCTTGATTCTTAAGGCCTTTCTTTCTACATTTATTTTGCAATAATTTCTTAAAAGCTTACTACATAGAAGTCACTCTAAAGACCTGAGATATACATGGTCTCATCCTCACATGTTTTAAAGCATAGTAGGAAAAATGCAACATGTACCTGAAGAACTATCCTATGTAATATCATGTGATATGCTGTAGAAATACAGAGGCAGAGCTGGTAAGTGTTACTTTGGGCTTCCAGCCTCTTCTCACCTTCCCCACCCCACAAAACAGGTAGATATTCCTCTTTAAATTAGATTGGGCTACACACCAATTGGAAACCTTCCCATGACTGATCATGGACCATGATACTATAGCCCAAATGCCATCAATCATAAAAAAAAATCACTAAAATATGAATTCACCTCCCAAAGACTTCTCACCTTCATCTTCCACTAATAACTTATACAACAGTACTTCGAGTGGCAGGAAATAATTCCATACAAAAGGATGATCACCCAAGCTCAAATAAAAAACATATATTTTGCCCTCTTCAGCAGGTTTCCTAAAGGTTGGCAACAGCTCCATACCTGGGGAGAGATGTAATTTTCCCCCATTTCTCTATGCAGAAATGCCGAAGCCCATTACTTCCTCGAAGGGCTGCAAAGCCTTCATATGGCACACTTGAGGTTCCTGTGACAAACTGAAGTAATCTTAATCTCTGCTCATTATTGAAGCGCTCCACCACAGCCCAGAACCAGCGGATCACAAGATGCCCATCATGATAACCTGAATGGAGAAAATGAAAGGAGAAAGAAAGGATGTGGAGAAAGAGAGAAGGAGGAGAGGGGAGAGAGAGAGATGAAATACACATCAGGTATGAGAAGAACTGAACAGCTGCTTTTGATCTGCTGATTTCTTTAATGATGGCTTTAGATAGGTCTAAAACAATTTGTGTAACCAGGTCAATTTTAAAATAAAAGCAGATTTAGAAAATAGTCATTTTATTAAAAGATTATATATTCTGAGGAATGTCCTCAGAGATGTTTGCTCTCTATTTAAATAACTGGGACTCCACTAGTCATTTCCTGCCTCATATAAATGTAGACAAGTAGAGGGTAGGCTTGGTAGAGATCTTTGGGATCCTTAAGAGACAAAACCCTTGGTGAATACAATATTTCATCATATTTCTTTCTTACTGATGTCTTAGTGATTTGTAGCTGTAAACCATGGGAGAGTTTAGGTTTAAAGGCTGGAGGTAAAGGGCAAACTTGGTGAAAGAAAAATGCTGGATGCTCCAGCAGCCATTGGTGCCCCTGGAGCAGCAGCTCTCAGGCCAGCTCTGGGCTGAGACAAATTGGGCCCATGGAGAAGTATTGGGCCCCTCTCACAGTACAGTTGGGAGACCAAGCTTGGTTCATTTACTTAAGGTAAATGATTTGCTGCCGACTATAAATGCAAAGGGCATTCAAAGATAGGCTGGGGTAGAAAGCTTAATAAAAAAGAAGTAAGGTGTGAATTAAGCATACAAAGTGTTCGTGTGAGTATAAGGGAGGAGGAGAACATTTCTGGCAGGGAAAATAAAAAATAGCAAGAATGAGGAAGAAATATACAGGGAGTAATAGCAAACTGACAAGCAGAGAGAGGGATCTGGTGAAGACTGAAAGAAAATTTGCTGGGGGTCTTAGAGGGCCTTAACAACCAGTCAGAGACATTTTGACTTGATACCTCAGGTCAGTGGATTTTCTACCAGGCCAAAAACGACCTAGAGGTCCCACAGAGGCTTCTCATGGCTGAGTGTATTGGGGAGATGAGGGAGGCTGAGATGGCGGGCCCCTTGCGCTCTCTCTCTCTCTCTCTCTCTCTCTCTCTCTCTCTCTATTGTATTGATTGGGGTTTATCTGTAGTATTCTACATGAAGAAAGGGTTTTGAGGCTGAAAACGCTGTCAAAGACCTCTTCTATAAGTAATAAGTAGCTTGTTTTGTGGGTAAGAAAGTAGTCTGATGAAAATAATGTTTTAGGAAGACTAGTTAGGCAGTGAGAAAGTGTATAATTAGAAGGGGTTAGAAGTTGGTTTTGGAGAAATGACAGAACTGTGTTGCAGGAAACAAGGACTGAGGTGGAGAGGGCTCTAATTCCTAGAAAGTGGGACACAATTCCCTGCCAGCATGTAATCATTTCAGGAGCTGGCCCATGGATGGTGGTGTTCCCTGCCCTGATGCAACTCGACCAAGTTAGGCCAAAGACTACCACCAGGGGTTACTGTCAGCTGAAGGAAAGTTCAGGTGGGAAGCTGGAGGAAGGCATATTATACAAGAACCTACTTTACACATATATTCAAGAAAGGGCAAGTTTTTGTAGTCTTTAAGAAGTGAGGAAAGGGCTGGCTGAGTGGCTCAGTTGGTTAAGAACTTGCTCAAGAGTGCAAGTTCTGAGCAACAGCAGTTCTAGTCCCAGCCCGAGCTGAGTTGCTGCTGAGCTGCCAACAGGTGGCAGGATAGCTCAGCTAAATATATATATATATATATATATATATATATATATATATATATATATATATACACACATATATATACATATATATATTATATATTACAAATACATATGGAATATATATAAAGTAAATACATATGAAATGAAATATTATTCAGCCATAAAGAGAAATCAAATACTGAAATATGAGTATACTACAACATGGACAAACCTTGAAACAGTATGCTAAGTGAAAGAAACCAGATACAAAAACCCCACATATTGTATGATTGTATTTACCTGAAATATCCAGAATAGGTAAATCCATAAAGACAGAATGCACATTGATGGTTGCCATGGTGGGGGGAGGACAGAATAGAGAACAACTGCTCAATGAATACAGGGTTTACTTTTGGGATGATGAAAAGGTTTTGGAACTAGCTAGAGGTAGTGGTTGCACAACATTGAGAATGTACTAAGTGTCACTGCCTTGCTAACTTTAAAATGGTAAATTTTATGTTATGTCAATTTCACCTCAATAAAATTTTTTTTGAAATGACTTGGATCTGTGATAGTTGTATCTTCACAAACCCTGCCAGCTCACCTCCCCGGTACTCGGTGTTATTTCGCCAGTCATTTAGGTCGATTTCTGCCGTGCCAGCTATCACCAGCTCCAGCTCCCTGGCATCGAACACGGAGACAAGCCTAGAGTCTATGACCTGAAATACAGATTAGGCTTCCACATACAGGTCCAACTGCATTGGAAGTTATATTCATTATTATTACTTCTGGGGCTTCAGGTGTGCAACTAACCATCATTTACAACTCTTTTTTCAATATGGTGTTATGTTTAAGTTCAAAATCGTGACTTACACATTTTGAAACACAACCCATTCATGAGCTGATAACTAAAAAAAGGTCCCATGCTTTTTACTACCTCTGATACTCCTCCTCAGAATGATGTTATAAATAAATCTGACTCACCTTCCTGTAGTCACAGTTAAATTTCCAAGTAAGATTGCATTTTAAAGACAAAAATCACTTTGAAGTGACTCGATAGGTGTTAGTATTACCATTTCGCTTAAAAGGTATCCTCTCTTTCACATCAGACTAAGACTTATTTCCTAGGAATGGGCATTATATGTTAAATGATTGCATTTTTCATTCCTTTCCCCCTAACTTCCTTGCTTTCTTCTTCAAAGATCTGGGAGGACCTGCTTTGATAGGGTTCTGAGCTCTGGTTTTCCATCTAGTTGCCAAATGTTTCAGGAACAATTGAACATCTATAGTGGGCACCTGCTTTAATCAAACCAGTGGTAGATGAGCCAGTGGTCCATGCTGTTCTCTGTTATGGCAGAAAAGAAGACTCAGGTCCTGAGCAAACATTTACTGGAAGTTTAAGGATGCCAATTTTGGGTGCACAGGAAGGCTAGCAACTGTCATTGTCCTCTTGATTTACCACCTCAGCATGGATTATGTGGCATAAAGTGGTACAATAACAAAATAAAATCTAGCAAGAGTGGACAATGACCTCTAATGCTTTCAATTCCTTTATTTTTATTTCATGGAATGAAAGGAAATGTAACATGTACATATCTTGATAAGAGATGCTGTATTTTCACATCTGAACACCAGGACCACACCAACACCAGTTTTGTGAGAGCATTTCTCACCTACCACAAGAGTTGGGTTTCCCAGAGAGCTCTGACCCCTCATTCATCTACCTCTTTGAACGTTGGTCGGCAAAACTGAGACCTTTGCCTGCCTTCGCTCTCCCTCTTCCTCTTCCTCACAAGTTGTGTCTAGTGATGAAGGCCCTGGCCCATAGCCTGCCCTCCTTAGCCAGGCCTGGGCCTCACCTCATAGAAGCCCCGCACCAGGGCCTCCGTCTGCTGTACCACGCCACGTTCCACTCGCCACTTCACCATTCTTTCGATGTATTCCTTCTTGTTCTTCTCCGTCACCTGGGTGTTGGCTCCACCAGATTTTAACTCCCTTTCCGTTACCTTGTAGGAAAAAAGAAAGATTGTCATACTTGTCAACTCAGCTTATCTCACAGTGAGACGTCGATTTTAGGAAGTTGAACTATATACAAAAATTTCTCTTCACTTGTGTTCAGCATTATTAACTCCATAGTTATTTTCCTTTCCTGGAAGTTACTAAAAAGACTGGTTGTTCTAAGCAGATATTAGGCACGTCATAAGAGCTGCATTTTTTGTTTGTTTGTTTGTTTGTTTTATAAAGAGGAAACATTTCCTTAACTCAAGAGGCATAATGGTAATAATTTTTTTAAAATGTCCCTGGTGGTCCCTAAATGGAGCTGAATGTCCCTATACTACAGTCATGTACTTGATTTCCCAAATTTCAATTAGAGCAAATTCTTAACAGCCACCAGCTTCCCCACCCACAGCAGATTATTGGCACCAAAACAGCAGAGGGTGGGAAGGTGATTTTTTTGCAGCCAGGTAAAATAGTGACTGAAGAATGAAAGTCTGACCTTGAGAAAGGAAACAAAATGACATTGCCACTTACTATGGTGATGCATGTTTGTTAAGACTAGTTTGAGTCATCAAGAAAAGTTAAGATCTGTGTTCTGTCTTTTCAAAGGCAAGAAGGCAGATAACATATTACACATTTTTATCAAAAACTGCTGGTGTTTGAAGGTGGCAAGCTTCAATCATCTTAAATTCGCTTAAGAGGTTCACCTCACCATTTCATGCTATATGACAAATAAGGTATCACAGTACTTAATGGACACAAGTAACTAAACAAAACAGTCCACAGAAGTATGGCTACTTTTTCTTCCACAGACATATGATGGTTACTTTTTCTCTCACCACTTAGGTGACTAGTGCTAAACATAAAATATCGGCCAAATATAACATACTAGTTGTCACCCAATATCCTTGGAACCTCTGGTTTTCAGCTGCTCAGTTAAAAACTTTATTTCCCAACCTCCCTTTCAACTAGATGTGTCATATAACTAAATTTTGTCCAATAAGGTGTAAGCAGGAGTGTTATATGACACTTTATAGGCCTCCTTAAAGGAAGGGACTGTTGTTCTTTTGTCCTGCTGCTTCAGACAGACATGATGGTTGGGGTGCTATAGGCATCTGGACCATGAATACAGGTTTGTGTCATAGGGACTGTAGCCTTGGGTTGCCTGCCGCCAGACTTTTATATGAGAGAAAAATAAAATTCTGTTAATTTCAACAGGGTGATTTTGGGCTTCTTCACTAGCAGCTGAACCTAATACAAACTAACAACCAGGAAAAGCCTATATTGTCTTTCACCTGCATCTGTCTGTCTGCTCTCCAGTATCTCATAACTTACCAAAAGAAGGGCTGCAATTCAATTTTATAAAACCAAAGTCGTTTTTGGTGACCTTATTTGAAAAGAAAGAGGATCTGTTTAAACTTTAAACAAATATACATTACTCTAGATCTACAACACATCCTTATTTTTATCACTGGGAACATTTAAAATTTTTCTCTGAGTTGTTCAGTTCCTACACTATGCACACATGAAGGATTTCTCTTTTGTATTTTCAACGCTCTTTTCCTCTGATTTTTTGGATTTGGTTATTTACAGTTTACTTAATTTTTTTGACTCTAGAAATTCAACTTTTAGTCATTCAAAATTACACATGTGTATAGTATTTAAAATAGCAAACATTGCTGCTATGATCTGCAGGGCTGTCTGTTACTTCATTTTTTGAGTAGATAATATGTGTCCATGAAATAAAATTCAAGTGATACAAAAAGCCATAAAATGAAGAGTAAGTTTCTCTCCCACCTCATCTCAGCCATACAATCTTCCTATCTGGAGAAAGGTACCTTTACTTTCTTTCCATGGAGATTCTATGTATAAACTAGGGAGTATGTACATATCATCTCTCTTTTCCCATAAATGATAGCATATCATACACACTATTCTTCATCAAACTTTTTCTCTTGACAATATATCTTGGCAATTGTTTCATACCAATTTAAACCTGTCTTATTATTTGTTGTTGCTATAGTGCTTTATTGTTTATAATTTATATGTTAATTGATGGGCTGGAATGTCTTACACTTTTTAATAGCCATGCAACCCAGTAGTCCACCATTCCAATGGATGAATGTATCATAATTTATTTAACCAATGCTCTACTGCTGGACATTTTGATTGTTTGAGATCTTTTGCAATTATCAACAATGCTGCAGTGAAGATCCTAAAACATTAGTCATTTCAATTAGGTGTGAATACATTTGTAGGGCAAATTCCTAGACATGGATGCTGAATCAAATACAGATGCATTTAGAATGCACATAGATATCACAAAAGTGTCTTTCATAGAGAGAAAACCAATCTTCTCTTTACTTCTACCTAGAATGTACAGGAGTGCTTGTTTCGATACACCATCTCCAAAACAGAATACTACTAAAACTTCATTTTGAAAAAAATTACTTATTTATTTTTTTCAGTTACAGTTGACATTCAATATTATTTTATATTATTTCAAGTGTGCAGCATAATGGTTAGACATTTATATAATTTATACAGTGATCCCCTGATTAGTCTAGTATCTACCTGGCAAAATACATTGTTGTTGCAACATTACTAACTACATCTCTATGCTGTACTTTACAGCCCCATGACTATTTTGTAATTACCAATTTGTACTGCTTAATCCCTTCATCTTTTTCACCCAGCTCCCGTACCCTGATCCCTTCAGGCAACCATCAGCTTGTTCTCTGTATCTATGCATCAGTTTCTGTTTTTCTGCTGTTGTTATTTTCTTTAGATTTCACATATAAGTGAAATCATATGGTATTTGTCTTTCTCAGTCTGACTTATTTCATTTTGCATAATACCCTCTAGGACATGTGTGTTGTCACAAATGGTAAGATTTCATTTTTATTTATGGAAGAGTAATACTCCACTGTATATATGTGCCACATCTTCTTTATCCAGTTGTCTATTGTTGGGCACTTAGGTTGCTTACATATCTTGGCTATCGTGAATAGTGCAGCAGTAAACATAACAGTGCATATATCTTTTCAAATTAGTGTTTTGGATTTCTTCAGATAAATACCCACAAGTAGAATGGCTGGGTCATAAAGTAGTTCTATTTTTAATTTTTAAAGGAACCTCCAAATCATTTGCCATAGTGTTTGCACCAATTTTCAATTTCACCAACAAAGCACATGAGTTCCCATTTCTCCACGTCCTCCCCAACACTTGTTTTTGTTGATTTATTGATGATGGCCATTCTGAAAGGTCTGAGGTAATATTTCATTGTGGTTTTAATTTGCATTCTCTGATGATTACAGACATTGAGCATCTTTTCATATGTCTATTGGCCATCTGTATATCTTATTTGGAGAAATGTCTATTCAGGTCTTCTGCCCATTTTTAATTGGATTGTTTGATATTTTGATGTTGAGTTGTATGTCTTTATAAATTTTGGATATTAACTCTTTTTTTTTAAAAGATTTTATTGGGGAATTGGTGGAAGGGAAAAGCGCTGGGGAATCAGGGGAAGGGGAATAGACAAGTTGCTGTCCTTTTGTTCTTCAGTCTAGTTGTGGAGGACATTGCTTCACTAGCCCATGTTGATATTATCACTGCGCTCTTCCTGACTGAGGCAGATCAGTCGCCATCCACTGGACGGCCACTCACAGAGGCTCTTGGCAGCTCACACCGGCTGCCAGCCGCTAATGCTGGCTGCTGGCCACTCATGGTAGCTTATGGCGGCCCACTGCAGCAGGGGCTGCAGCCTATGCTGTCGCCGGTGACTCATGGCAGCCCAGCTCCAGGTTGAGCTGTTGTTCACCATCTTAGCTGTAGAAGGCAGCGTCATTGACCCTCATATGTGGGATCTGAACCGGGGCCCTGCTGCTCAGAGCTGGCGTCCCACACCAGCTCTTAACAATGCGCCACTCGGCCGGCCCTGGATATTAACTCTTTATCAGATGTATCATTGCTGAATATCTTCTCCCATTCAGTAGGCTTTCTTTTTGTTTTGTTGATAGTTTCCTTTGCTGAGCAAAAACTTTTTAGTTTGATGCATTCCCATTTGTTAATCTTTTTGTTTTGTTTTGTTCCCCTTGTCTGAGGAGATAGATCAGAAAAAAATGTCACTAAGAGCAATGTCAGAGAGTTTACTGCCTATATTTTCTTTTGGGTCTTATATTTAAGTCTTTAATCAATTTTGAGTTTATTCTTGTATATGGTGTAAGAGAGTGGTCCAGTTTCATTTTTCACATGTATCTGTCTAGTTTTCCCAGCACCATTTATTAAATAGACTGCCCTAACCCCATTGCATATTCTTGCCTTCTTTGTCATAGATTAACTGACCATAAAGGCGTGGCTTTATTTTGGACGCTCTATTCCGTTCCATTGATCTATGTGTCTGTTTTAATGCCAGTACCATGCGATTCTGATTACTATGGCCTTATAGTATAATCTGATATCAGGTAGCGTAATACCTCCAACTTTGTTCTTCTTAAGACTGCTTTGGCTATTTAGGATATCTTGTTCCATATGAATTTTTCAGATTATTTCTTTTAGTTCTGTGAAAAATTGCATTGGTATTTTGATAGGAATTGCATTGAATCTATAAATTGCTTAGGGTAGTATGGACATTTTAACAATATTAATTCTTCTTATCCATGAACATGGTATATATTTCCATTTATTTGCATGTTTTTCAATTTTTTTCTTCAGTGTCTTGTAGTTTTCTTAATACATGTCTTTTACCTCCTTGGTTAAGTTTTTTTGTAGGTTTTTTGCTTGTTTTTTGGTTTTTTGATGCAATTGTAAATGTGATTGTTTTCTTAATTTCTCTTTGTAATAGTTTATTATTGATGTATAAAAAGACAGCTAATTTCTGAATACTAATTTTGTATCCTGCTACTTTATTGAATTCATTTATCAGTTTTAATAGATTTTTGGTGGAATCTTTAAGGTTCTCTACATACAGAATGATGTTATCTGCAAATAAAGACAGTTTTACTTCTTCTTTTCCCATTTGGATGCCTTTTATTTATTTTTCTTGTCTGATTGCTGTGGTTAAAATACTACTAAACTTTCTGATTCTTG